CATCCATTTTCCAGTGATAATTTCCAAAAAATCCGTGTGAAGCTCAATGAGTTTAAGGCGCCTTTCGCCATGCGCCGCTTTTAGCAACATTAGCACCATTCTCTTACAAGGAACTGGGCTACATCACATGGACGATGAGAATATCATCGGCTTAAATGACTTGGTTTACTACCTGAAAGACTTGACTAGTCATCCAGGCAGACGTTCGGATCAATCTACTTTCAGATGGATGATTTGTATGTCCCATCGTGATACCCAGATTATCATGTACCTAAGGGTTGGTTCACTTAAGCAAATTTGACTAACCGCCGATAGTCAACGTTCCTTTGTTGAGATGTCAACGACAGTTCCAATAAAGAATTTAACATCCGCCTTTTTGCTCGTATATTATAAGCACTGAACTAACGATTTACACAACAGTTTACGTTTGGTTATTCTATCTAAATTTCTGCGGCGAAAGAATAAGCATGGAAAGCACGTTTTGAAAGATGATCTTTATGAAGACAAGATGAACAACAGCTAATCGTTTCTGCATAGAGAACGGAGCAACGTCGATCAATCAGTGACAGTACAAAGTGGTGGTTGTCTGTTGTGTGAAACTCCTGCACTGAAACAACCTGTTATATCATTATATCCCAGAAAGCGTAGAGAGCGACAAAAAGTCATGACATCGACCGAAAGGACATCATGAAGCAACCGACCGAAGAGGAGATAAGCGGACTACCTTATCATAAAAATGTTTCATCAATCCAAAGAAACATATGCACGCTTGCGGAAGACCAGCACCGTTGTATGCATCGGAATGTTGTCACGCTCAAATGGAGGCATGGCATCAACAGGAAAAATCACATCCAGAATACATTTAGAAGATATCCGACAAAGCTAGCTAAAACAACAGAAAGGCTGACCGAACAATAGCCTCTGTTGATTCGAACCAATGATTTGACACTGTGTAGACAATATGCAGCAAACACAGAAAAAAATAATGGGAAAGAAAAATGTGACGGTCAAATTTATGCCTAAAAGATGTTGTACGATGTGATAAGACTTGAAGACCGAAGAATGCCGAAAAAATTTTACCCCCGTAGCGTACTTCTATAAGAGCTGTATATGTTTAAAGAAAGGATGAAGAAACCAGCAAAATAAAATAAAATTGGGGGAGAAGGGTAAGTGTAGGAAGAAACTGCACTGAAAAAGACAACTGCTTAACAGAAGGACAAAAAGACAACTGCCTAACAGACAACTGCTTAACAGAAAGACAACTGCTTAATCATAAGAAGCAGACGGCAAAATAATAATTACTACTTTCAGTCCTACGGACGAACCGAACAGAAAAATAATTCGATAGGATAACTACGCAGAAAACATGTGAAGGCTTGCATGTTACGTAGCAGGTTAGATGCGCATTAGCTGAGTGACAGATCAACGAGCTAAAAACTACCGTGCGTGATTAACGAGTATTTAATTAGAGAAGAAACGGGTAAGTATAACACAAATTGTTTTGGAGCCAACGGTATTTAGTAAAATCTCTACGGACAGGGAAATGCTGAAGTTGTTTTTGAGTCACATAAAAGAGATTGTTTAAGGAGGAAATTTTGGTTGACTCTTGGTTGGTATCTAGAAGGAATTTTAATCGCGCAACGACTTTAAACTTGTGACCAAATGCAGAATGCTAAAAAGGTGGTAGAGGCTGATAGGAAGGCAAGACTCGATGTTCAAAACGAATGTGCAAACAGTGAAAACACGAAACGAAACCACTTCAGTTACCTGGTACTGAATAATTTTATCCTGCGCCAAGCAGAGGTACATGCGATCCGTTTCTTTCATGTAGAACGCACACTTGTGCAACTGGCTGACCGGCTCGTCGCTGTCCAACATCGCACACTGTTTTTCCACCTTGCGAATGATTAACCGCGGTAGAGCGATGCCGCTCACAGAATCCACCAGTTTCACAGTAGACCCGTAATGAATGTACCCATCTTTGACGACAAACTCTTCTGATTCTTCCTCGTCGTCTTCCACTAGAAATATCACGTTTTAAAAAATAAAAAGAGTAAGCAGTATGACAGAAAATGTGTACTTTATCACAGAAACAACTTAGTCTATTCTACAATGTAGAGAGAATGTGTCACAACTGGCAAATCAATTCCACTAACTTTTTAAAGAAGTATTAAACAACCGTTTCGAGAATTTTACAGAGTGCACTGGAACTGGTCAAGGTAATTACGACAAACAGATTACTTTTGCGAAAGTAGTTAACCGATAAAGCGCAGAGTGCCATTCGACCGGATTTAGTACAAAGAATTTTTTAAGGATTTTTACAGCATTAGCCATCAAACAAATGAAGTCACCCCTCCCTGTCCATAGGTAAAACAAGAAAACAAGTTTTGGTAATGCCAGTTAGAGAGGCAGTCGCAAACTATGTTCATTCACGTTTTATGAATGGGTAATATCTCTGAAAAGTGGGAAAGAAGTGGGAATCTTTAAAGCATGGATAGAATTCAAAGTGGTCGAATCTGTTACGGGATGACATTGCAAAATCAAGTAAGCTCATGTTTAAAAGAACAGGTAGAATGATACACAAGACCCATAACGCGATCTTGTGAACGAGATAGGACGCCAAATATACGACGAAGATTCTCTTTGCTTGTACTGCAACATTATGCATTATGCTAGATAATTTGCAGATTCGCTTGTACTCAGCTAAAAACTAAAAAAAAAAGTCACTTCACTAAGGTTGTCGTGCGGCATCTTTTCCTGCATGTCATTTGAACAAAAACGAAAAATCAAAACATACGAAGGTGGATGGTGAATGCACCCCACTGTGTGCTGCTGGCGTGGAAATGGCCGTTTTCGACGTGCAAATAGCGGGTGCTGACGGTCTGAGATCGAAGGCGGTTGAATAGGGCAACTTTAGTGCCGCTGGCGATGCAGAGGTACTTGCAATCGGTGTTCTTCATCGACTGTTTTTTCTTGCTCGGCTTGCTGATCACTTTGATGCGCTGCGACGGAAAGACGCCCAGTTCATAACCGCACCCGTAGACGAATTTCACTTCCAGTTCGAAGTATTTCCTTTTGTCACTGTCACTGATGAACAAAGTTTTAGCCGCACAGAAGCTCTGCAAATAAGACAGATGATCGCCAGGCATGCTTGTTTAAACACGGTAAGATTATAGAGACGTACCTTGCCTGAAGAAAAGTCCAATGGCTGCTTCTCATGCTCTGACTCGCAAATGCCGATGTACGCAATGAGATCAGAGGCTATGCTGTCTTTGATCAACTGTTGCGGGTCTTCCGCGCCGCTGCACGGCAACAGACTGACAGCGGACCCAGGAACATTCGAGGCATGAGGAATGGAGGTAATCTTCTGAACCTGCTTGTGAGGGTTGTTCAGAAACTCGATCTGCTGCTTTTTACGCTTCCAGCCTTCGCCGAGCAAGTACACGCTAGGTGGAGGGCAAAAGAATCTTAACGAGAAAGTGTAAACGGTAGTTCATCGGTCACTTTCCAGCTTTCACGTTACCTCTTTTCATTCCCGTACGATTTTTGCGCAACTTTGGCATGAAAAATAGTAACGATGCAGTCTACTCCTTCGGACAGATATCTGCGCATAGCTTCTTTCGTCATCTTACGCCTTGGAATTCTAAAATTCAAAAACTTTTTAGACCCTTCACATGGTGTAAAATTCTGAAAGTGTACCCAAGAATTCGTTCGGAATCAAACGGCAGGGATACCGGACAGTCGTCGTTGTTTTGCTGCGCATCTGAGCCGTTCATCCTCGATCTGGAACATACATCGGTACTCGTCGAAGCATTGGAGCCTAATGAACCACCTGCAAAACAAAAGTCATTCAACATCGATTATCGATCGCACAGCAATGCCGTACAGG